GGCCTGGTACTTTCTATATAGTGAAGGTTGGCCTCAAACACTTTTCCATTTTGCTTTAGCTTCTCTGGTACTAGGACTATAAGATCTTGCCACTACATTTGGCAGAACTGTGTTATCTTCTTACAGTGTATTATTGCTTTGTAACAGAAAACCCAAATTACTGTTATATCTTGCAATATGGGTTAATTTAAAAAGATACTATCTTGAATCAAAGATACCAGATTTTTTCTTAAAATCATTCTAGTGATTCAATTTATGAAACTTTGAACAGGAAAATCTAATCTATGTGACAAAAGTCTCAATAATGGGTTGGCAAAAGTAGTGAGAGACTGACTGGAAAGGAGTACTGAGACTTCCGAGTCATAGAAATGTGCTATGCTTTCACATGTCTGTACAAAATCTCATGCAGCATATAAAAGTTGAATATGACTCAAATCACATTATCCTCTTCTCCCATAATAATGTCATGCTGAGAACTACAGTACCGTGTTATTACTTATTATTTTCATCCATTGACATCATCCATTTTAAACGTTTTTGGGTCCCTCAAGTGGGATTTGAGGGCCCTATTATTTGTTGATTATCAGACAGATTATTTGTTGAGAAATAATCAGAAAATAAAATGGAAAAGAAAATTATATAACATCAGAAATTGTCCTCTCTTTCCAGTCTTCTGGTAGTCAACCCCATTGAAAACATGGGTCCCTATTCCCAATGAAAATCAATAACCCAGAGCCATCTATGTTTCATTTACCGTAAATGAAGAGGCAAGAAAATAAGAGTAAGCTTTTTTCTCCTAGATTTTGAGATAATGCCACATAATTATTACTGTATTTCTAAACTCCAGTGAGGCAGACCAAGAGACATCTGATGAATCACCTTTTCATTCATAAAACCCTGCTCATAACTTTCATCACTTTTACCCTCCTAGAATAATAGCAGAGAAATGGTACTTGATGGGCCCACATTATCAGATGCTATTAGAAAGGTCTAGATAAGAGTGCTGAACTACTTATTAGTATTCTGCATGCAACCTCTTCTCTATAACCCAGAGTCATCTGTATCCTGGCAACCCTCAAAATTTCATTCTCATTGAATTGGTAGATCTTTATCAAAATATAATTATAGCCTTAATTTGAAAGATAAATTTTGATTGCCAGTGCCATGCCCAAAGGAAGAAATAATCAGGTGGGAGAGTGCTTAGCCACAATTTTTAACATAGAATCCATGCCATGAATCATCCATTCCTTAAACACAAACATACACACACAAACACACACACACACACACACACACACACACACACACACACACCCCTACCCCCCAAACAACACCACAACTTTCAGGGAAGTTGTAAGGCATAGAGTAATTAGGCACCAGACTTAACTTTGCCCATCTTCTTATGTTGTTACCCAAGTGCCAGTTATCTGTTCCTACATGGAGGCATTTGGTAAAGAGCCAAGTGAGATATTTTGCTTCTATACATGCCCACAATGGGTCAACCTTGATCAGAAAATAGTTTAGCTTACACAGTATCACAAGTCAAGTTCCCTGGAAATAGACACTAGTATGGGGAAATTTTTCTAGGAAATGCTCACTGGGTCAACACCTGTACAGAAACTGAATCAAACAAGACTGAACACAAAAAGAAGTTGGGTTGTGATATAGTTATGACAAAATCTTGGACCAGTACTCCAGAAAGCATGGAAGTGTTTGGAAGTGAGATGGCTCTGCAGAGTTGTCCTAAACTGAGACAAAGTGACCAGGCCTTCATAGACTTGTACTGACCCGTCATCATCTGAGAAAGAGCATGATCTTGGTGAGGTGACTTTCTTCAGCACAGGAAAATTCTTAGAAAATGACTCAACTGTCTCAGCTATATGCATTCATGTCTGGCAAATGAGTGACTGTGGTATAGTAGGTGCTTGAGTCTTGATGAAGAGAGCAAAATTGGATAGGAGCCCTTGTGCCTCCACTGACTATAGTAACTCTGGAATCTGGGAAAATAATGTGAATTGGACCACAAGAATTAAATCATGAAAGCAGCTCTATCCCCTGAGGCAGCAAGGACTTCCAACGTGCATGCTAAGTTCTCTCACAATGTGTGATTTGCTCTGCAAGATCAGAAATCGTCCGGACTTCTCATTCCGTTGGTGCAGTCCCAACTTTCTAAAATTGTAATTTGCTGGAAAACCTGGACTGTTATCTCTTTTACTGCCAAAGTGGCCAAGAACCTGAGACTAGATAGGTCACAGAACTAGGGGAAAACCTACAACTTCCATCCTGTTAAAAAAATGTAGCAATAAAATAAATCCTATTGTTTTAGTGCTATACCCCAAGATTAGTGCATCACTCAATCTTCATCAGAGAAGCTTCTTCTTGCCCTATATGAGAATTAACACAAAGACCCACAACTGGACAATGCACACAGAGGGAGGGCAACTTTCTATTAATCCCTAGGTGGGATGTCTTCAGAAAAACCCACCCATCAAGGTTCAGGGACGATTGTAGGAAAACCAGGAATCAACAATGGTGGAAGATGCCAAGAAAACAGTGTCTTCCAGAAACAATAAGGCTGATACACAGATGAACTCACAGAGAATGTGATGGCATACATAAAACCGGACAACAATCCTAGCATGGAGAAGGTGAAGTGTAGAGAAAATCCCACCCCTAATCAAGAAATTATTTGCAATAAATACCTGCCAGGAAAAGGAAAAATCAGTTTTCTTCAATGAAGTGTCACTGAAATATCAACCACACTCCAGGGCAGTATGCATGCCCAGGAGAGTTGCCCAATATAAAACAGACTCCATTTTTTTGTATGCATTTTTTGTTTTGTTCTATCTTGTCTTCCTGGGGTTTGTTTGCTTGGTTTGATTTTCATTTCTGTGTTATTGATTTTGAGAGATAATAAAGGAACACCAAGAGTTGGGTTGATAGGGAGTTGTGGAAAATCTGGGAAGAGATGGGGGAGGTAAAAGAATATGACCAAAATACATTGTATGAAAAATATATTTATTTAATGTGTGTGTGTGCGCGCGCACACGAGTGCACACGCCTAAGTGTATGTTATACGTGTACACTCCATGTGTGCAGGTGCCTGAAAAGCCAGAAGAGGACATTGGAACTGGAGTTACAGTTGATTATGAGTCTTTCTATATGTGGGTGCTAAGAACAGAACCCGGGTCCTATACAAGAGCAGCAAGTGCTCTTAACCTCCACGCCATTTCTCTAAGCCCATGCTATGGCTTTTCAGAAGGATACCTTTGAGACACTACTAAAGAGGAGGCAAGAGAGCAGAAGTCACACACTTCAGTTCCTTTCTTGAGGCTTTCGTGTTCCTTTAGGGAATAAATGGCTCATTAGTTTAGGGATGGAGAAAGAACCAAGCATGTATAATAGTCTTGCTTCACTGAGTAGAACTAATGGATTTTATTTTACATACTTTGCAGTATACAGTAAACTCTTCCTGAAACCTTTGGGAAGCCTTGGATTTGTAAATCCTGAGGTCTCACCTTTGTGGCAGTTTGTTTTCCTGCCCTGGTATTTATGACCTCAATTAATTCCCTCTCCTGGACCTGGGACTTGCTTCTTTTTGTTGGCAAAACTGGCCATGGACTCAATCAGAATGCCTGGCAGCTTTTGCCTCTCTGTTCTTGGGGACCCTGAGCTGGAAAGGGAAAAAAAAATCCCTGAAACTGCATATAAAAAGGGACAGAAGCACAGTCAATTAGGCATCTCATGTGAATCTAGCCCTCAGGTGACATGCCATGTGACCTACCCCTGGAAAGCCCAGCAAGAATGGCTAGCTGAGTTCATTCCAGACAGCAGAATTCAACACCAACAGACGGACAGCTATTGCTTAACCAATAGGACTTGGTGTGAGTTCTCATGCCACAGTAGCAAAGGACCCACCTCACCATGTTCACTTTTACCTTTCAACATCAAAGCAGTCTTTACTCATTCAATAGAACTTCCCACAAATACACAAACTTTGGCTTCTTTCACAAGTTGTTACCTACACAATGATGATCAAAACTTGTGAAAGGAAGGAGGGAGGAAGGAAGAAAGGAAAGAAAGGAAGAAAGAAAGAAGGAAAGAAAGAAGGAAGGAAGGAAGGAAGGAAGGAAGGAAGGAAGGAAGGAAGGAAGGGGAAGGGAGGGAGGCTGGCTTGAAGGCAGGCAGGCTAGCCTCACTAGGCTACTAGAACTGGACGTTTGGGGTTGGGCTTCTTCAATAACTAAGTAGCTCAGTACTTTGTGTTAATTTCATAGGCTTAGAGCTCAAAGCCTCAGTTCAGCAAGTTTACCAATGACTCCCTGCCACCCACTTTCAAGGTCATTCACTAAAAAGATGAGAGTAAGAATGTTAAATCTTGAGTATCATGTTCTATACTAATTATATAACCCAGAACGGACTGAACAAAGAAACCAACAGATCAGAGAAGACACCTAGTAAAGTAAGTCAAAGCTATCCTGCTCAGAATCAAGCTTCAGATCTGTCACTTATTAACCAGAAAACTTCTGGCAGGCCACTCAATCTTTTATGCCTCCATTTCCTCACCTATAAATGGGAGTAATAACATTTCCTATTTATAAGATTATTGTGAGGATTGAATGAACTAATATATGTATAGAGCATAGATTAATGCCTGGTTATTCTTTTCCTGACTGTAAATGATTATACTGTAAGAATTGTTAAGTGTACATGGATTTTAAATCATTTAAATAGCTCTTTTAGTGACTACACTCTAGGAAAGGATGCCAGCTTTCAGAAACTATATCCTATATAATTGCTCTCTTAAGAGGGCAGGGTCAGTATGGCATGGTGGAAGGAATGTGAGCCAAGAAATGTGGATCTAGGTTCTTACTCCAGCCCTGCTTTAAACTATCTGCACGATGCAGAAAAAAAGTTATCCAGAAGCTGGGACTAATGATGGACACTTTGCCCAAAAAAACTGAATCAAATAATTGCTATGAGAGCCTTTGATTCTATACCTTTCCGAATTCCTTTGAGGTAGGATTGCCAATAATTTGAAGATGGAGATCTGCACTGAATTTGGTCAAACTCAAAACTCCAAAGAAGATGTGGAGGGGTGGGGGGTTCCTTTAATGCAAGAGAACATATTAATCATGTACAGACTGCACAGACTATACTTCCTTGGCCCTTGGCAGTTAGATGTGGACATATGATTGAGTTCTGGCCATGTATTTAGAAGAGAAATGCTCCTTCCAGAGCAGTCGTCCACAATCTCAATTCCTTCTGTTGTTGGCTTGGGCAGAGGACCCAGCAGGGACCCCAAGTCTCAAGAGAATGGCAAAGCCACAAAAGGGGATGAGAGCAGGCTGCTTCTCACAGCAAACCAAAAGGCTGATTAGACTTTATTTATATAAGAATGTTATGTGATCCGTCTGAGATTTAGGGTTTCCATGTTCCCTTCCTTGAATGATATGCTCTTTAGAGGCCCTTAGTCAATTGCTAATTCGGGGTTTGATTTCAAAAAGAAACTGACCTTCAATCTAAGACCAAGGGAGCATTGGCATCTTATTTGTTACAGATGGAGCCAAACCAATGGTATGGACTTGGGAATCTGAATTCCAACTCTCAGTTCTCTAAATTTCTATAGATGGCCTATACTCTTCTAAGCTGGTGACAGTAGGATGCCCATACCCTGGCCCACTGGGCTGCATTTAATCATCATTTGTCTTGTGTTTCTTCAGAGAGTTAAACATGAGAGCAATGTTTAAGAGGTACCAGTTGTTATTTGCTAGACTCTAGTAGGAGACCAAAAGAAGGATGGATTTCTCTGTTGTTCTGTTGTCTAGTCTCATTCTCTAGATCTGGATTCATATCTTAATATTTCCCAAGGATTACACTTGTGACCTACAGAAAATAAAAGTAAAGTTTTGAAATCAACATTCACTAGGAAAGAAAAGAGAGAAATAGCCTGAGAGGTTCCAGATCCAACCTGGAGACAGTGCTGAACATTCACACCTTTGCTCTTTAATTTGTTTCTTTTGCTGTACATAAACAGACATTTATTTTTTCAGCAATTACCAGCGAATTCTTGCAAAATAATTCCCATTATCCAACCAAATCAGGAACACAGAGTCCATTTTATTTAAAGCTGGAATTTTCCACTCTTGCACTGCGGAAAATTGAACATGGGAGAAATAGAGGTTTTTTGGAAATAAATAATGGGAGAGGCCCAACAGGGTCACAAGATCTAGGAATCCAAGAAGAGGACCTGGACTTCCTTTTATCTGCTGTCATTACTGAAATTTCCTCAGTACTTTCCTGAATCCATTCCATGTAGCCCCTTGCCCCATTAGCTGAAGGCAGCATCCCTCAGAAAGGCTGAATACCTCTGGCACACCAAGAAAGGAGTGGTGTCCTGGCTATACTAGGAATCTGGTATCATTTAAGTGTTACCTGGGCCCGTTGGTCCCCCTGTATTCAAAGCCCAACTCCTTTAAGATGGGGGGAGTGGCCTGCCTGCTCCTGAAGCACAGAGTAGGAAGCCCCATGTATAGTGCTGGGTGCAACTCAGAGAAAATGTAAAGCCCAAATGTCCATAACAGGGACAAGGAAGGGATCCCTTTCCGGGTTCCCATCCTCCAATCCTGCAGCCCAGTTTCTTTGGGTCTCCCACGAGAAGAGATGAGGCTTGGCAGATCTCCTGCCCTTTCACACAGACTGGCATTCCAGTCTCCCAGCCTTGACCTCCGCCTGGAGTCTGCGTGGCTCCACTCTCAGGTTATCTGGCAGTTCAAGTTTGGCCCCCACCAGGCAACTGGAAAGGGAGACCCCAGCCCTGGAATGGTGGGGTCAAAGCAAGCTGCATCTCCAGCCGCAGGGCTATTTTTAGATGCTGTTATCTTTGCCTTGCTCACATGCAGCTGTGAAAAACAAACTGGTGACCGAGGGGCACCCAACTGCAAAACAGAAAACCCATAAAACAAGAGCTTCCAAACTCAAAAGCATACCATGCTATGATAGAACACTATTCCACAATGGCCAGTTCTGCCCAGCCTTCCCCTGAGGGAGCCCAGTAGGGCTTTGCTCTTTTACTGCAAACACATTCCTGTCTTGGTCCAGCTTCTGAGCCAGCAAGGCTAATCTGCCAGGCAGCCATACTTATGGCCATGGATGGTGACCTCCTGGGACAGGTATGCCAAGGGAACAGAATCTATGGGGTTAACACTGCCATAAACTGAAAAGCTCCAGCTCCCTCGATTCTTTTCTCCAGCCCATCCTAACAGTTTCTCTGCTCTTCAGCGTCACAGCTCCATGACAGTGAAACCCCTGCACGGGCAAAATGTCACCCAACATAAGTAGCAAGGGAAAAAACAGGAGCGAACCCTGAGCGGGATCCCTGACTTCCAGCGGTTAGAGCACCCTCTCCCCAGGCCAAGCCTCAGGGAGCTCTCCAATCACAGTTCCGTCAAGTCCCCATGTCTCCCTCAGGCCGCCCACCACCTAACATTGCATGCAGCCTTTGCAGACCCTTCTACCCAGCGGCTAAGGGTCTGGACAGCAGCTTGGAAAAGTGGCGCCCCGCCCCAAAACCCGAGATGAGGGTAGGGGGGTGGGGAGGAGGCGGCAAACTTCAAAGCTGCAGCTGCAATATGTTTAAAAAATAATAATAATAATAAATGTCCCTGAAAACCAACACTGTTCCGTTTGTCCCTCCAAGCTATGTGCGGTCCACCTTGACCGCCAGCTAACCCTCACTCAGCTCTGCCAAGGAGATCAGGCTCTCCCAGACCTCAGCCTCGGGGATTTCCTCTCCTCCGGCTAGCGCGCAGCTGGGCTGTGGTCCATGCTTCCTCCACCCCCAAGTTCACCCTCACCCCAGAGGTGCAAAAATTTAGTTTAAAATTATGTCAATTGCCCATACCCCTTCCCACCCCCAAGCTGGTCCCCTCTCACACACACCCGCGTGGCCTGGGCTGCGAGTCGTGGAGGATCCCGAGGGGTTGCGGTGGGGTGCCGCGCCGAGGCTAGCCTCCCCGGGCGTCTGTTCAGGCTCGGGCTCGGCCCTGGGCAAGGCGCCCTTGCATCTTTCGCCAGGTGCAGAAATCTTACCGCCCGTGCGCCCCGGGCGCGCCGCCGGGCCCGGTGCCGGCTCCCCGGGAATGCGGCCGTCAGGTGAGGTAGGCATGCGTGCCGGCTCCGCAGCGAAGCAGCAGCTGGCTTGGGCGCCGGGCTGGGGATCTGCCTCTTCTCCCTCTCTCCGCAAAGGAGAGGCCTCGGAAGGGGGGGGGGGCGTGGGGCTTTCCAGCGCCTTAGTGCGTTACGACCGCATTCCTCCTTCCTTTTTTTTTTTTCTTTTATCTTAGTTTCTCCTTCAGATGCAAGAAGAGAGATCGCAGGAATCCATGCCCAATTCCAGTCTAACTCGGTCCAGAAGCAGAGAGAGAATTATGAATGGATGCTGCCTTCTGATGAGGAAGTCGACTGGGGAGGTCTCTGCGCACGGCGCGCTCCATCAAAGCAGGGGCATTGGCCCCACCACTGCTTCAATGCTGCAGGCTGAGCCACCTAATTGACCACTGGGAAATCAGGTGCCGGGAGACCTGGGCGGGACGTAGCCCCGGGGCCACGCTGGGATGAGCGCCTGGCCCGCGCAGACAGCTTCGATTTACAGCCCAGTGAATGGGGAGGACTGCGGCAGCCAAAGCTCCCCAGCAGCAAGCAAGGCTGCACCCACAACGCTCCGCAGACAGCAGCCCGGCTCCGCGAACATCTCCAGTGTCCGCCGGGCTAGAGAAAACCAGGCTAGAAAGAATCTGTCCCCTGCTGCCAGCCGCAGTGATCTGCGGGTCTCAGCCCCCCAGCCCGAAAGTCGGCGGCGCGCGGGAGCCGGCTGGTGCGCTTCCACGAGCTCGAGGTTGCGGAGGCTCCCTGATCCGGATTTCTTGTACCTGTGTGCGATAGCGCGAGCGCTGGGGCTGCGCGTTCCCCATACCAACCAAGAGGCTGGACCCACCGTTGCTGCTCAGAATCGTACCCCCGTGGCTCCCCTCTCACATCCCAGTCCCCAGCCTCTGGCCATAGCAGAAGAATTGGAGATGTCAACCATGGCAAGACCTCCTTCTGGGGCAAAGGACTGAGATCAGCTATGGCAGGTGCTGGCATGAAACAGGGGTTAGAGGGGCAGGAAAGATGTGACATGGCATCCCCTCCCCCCATTCATCTCTGGAGTCTGCAGCCTAACATCTATACACAATTCACTCTTCCCTGGCTTAAACACACTGCAAGGACAATGCCTTCGCAGCCATGTATTAATCTCCAGGGAAGGATGATTTACTAGACCAGCTCCGAGGTTGAATCAGGATTAAAAACCATGACACTGTATGCCCATGCCTTAGGCAGACAGGTTCTATATATAACAGGCCAGTGCAGAAGACAGAGTCATTTAGGGCCACTTAAAACAATGCTTATGAGATACAATCTAATATATAGCAAGGAGGAAACCAGTGAATGAAATTATCCAAAGAGGCCTTGTGGAATGCCCAGTCTTGCTCATTTGTCTTGAGGCTTTTGAAACTCATTTAGGGGAAACTTGACTATTTTCTGACTGGGCTGTCTATTTGTAAAGGGAGAGGTTGATGCCCTAGGCAGATTTGAATATATGAGCAAGATTTTGTCTGTGAGGCCTTTGGCTCCACACATTTTGCCAAGGTCACAAGAAATCACGGGGTATGCAGGAGCACTGTGTAAAGAATACTTTCTAATTGGCATTACTATGAATTAATTATTGTGGTCACATGAAGAATCACATTGAACTCAAGTCAGTCTGTGTTGGCAGTACGCTTCCAACCTTGCTCATGCCAACCGGTTTGGAGGGGTTCCAGCAGCCAGCAAGGACAGGGAATCTGGCAGGAGTTCCCGTGGAAGACAGTGTGTCCAGGGCAAAAACCAGGGGGTCACGAACCACAAAGTTTAAAGGCAAAGGAAGAAGTGAGCAGAAAGACTTGAGTCAGAGAAGCAGGTCAGGATGGGGACAGATCCCACATCAGAAGCTAGGGAATGACAGAATTGCAAGATCACAGTGTGATCAAGAATGCCAATGCCACATGTCAGAGATATTAGTAAGGAGGGCAGACCTGGATCTGGGAAGCTTTGGGAAAGTCTGTGGAGGGTTGGGATGGGTAGAAGAAAGGCAAGGATTTCTATTTGTTTGCTTCTTTAGCCCTTCTACTTGACGGATCTGCATGAGCAGCAGAATCAAACAATGGGGAGGGCATCAGAAATGATATACACAGGCCCTCACCCATTACACTGCATTACACTGAGGGTGAGGCTCGGTGGCTATCTATCTTAAAGCTAACAAGCTCTAAGACCAACTTCAATGGGAGGGAGACTCTATCATGTGTGAGCTCCAATTTCCTAGTGTGCTGAGAAGAGAATTTGTGTAAGGGTGAGCAAAATGGCTGCCCTCCACAACAATCCCAGGCAAGACTGCAGGTAGCTGATGGCCAAGTCGCAAATCACACAGTCCAAGCAGATGAACTACTTGCTCTAGGTTTTCAGGGCTGCTCCATCAAAGGAGAACCTTGACGATGAGGAGTGCAGAACTGTAAATGGTGATGAAAGCGGCCAGTTATTTGCCCTTTCATAGGGAAATGTTTAATACTTAGGTGGTTCTTAATAGTGGTGATGGAATTAATATAACCACATTATTTCAATTTGAAGTGTTTTATAAAGTCCCATAGAGAAAAACGAAACAAACAAACAAATATGAGCTTTAAACTCAGAAAGACCTGCCTGAATCCTACCTTCCAAATCCATTAGCAAGTGTGGCTTTGGGAACATTCTTTAATTCTGTAACACTTGGCTTCTTCACTTGTGAAATGAATGTAAGAATATCTAATTTAGAGGTATGCTAAAAGAGTAAATAAGACAACCGTTACAAAGCATGATGTTGGTGGGTCCTTCCTACCTCTGTTTGAAGTCTTCATATACAGGGCTCATACTGTATATTCCCCGTCCCCCTGGGATTCCCATGCCCTGTGCCATGATTAGGATACCTAAAATTTTCTATGGCTCAAAAGTTCAAATACTTACTGTCAAGTATAGCTACTGGAGACAGCGCAGAGACCAATCCCCCATAGAGCTAAAGTTCTAAGGACTTAGTTTATACCCACCTCCACGTGGGTGTAACACTTATTTTTAGTGAGAACCAAGGATACCAGGTCTCAGAAGAAAGAATTGCAAATGTTTCTTCCCTTAGGCTCATGAAGATCTACAGCAAGGGCGGACAAATTTGATCTGAAAAGAGTCAGACAGAAAGTATTGTCGGCATTGCAAGTCATGTGGTCTCTGCTAAAACCACTCTCATCTGCTGGGGTAGCTCAAACACAGTGGTAAAAATGCACCATGTTCCAATAAGTGTCTGTATTATTGACACAAGTCAGGGAGCAGGTGGGATTTACCTGTGGGCCCTAGAGTGTGAATCTCTGACTGACAGTGTGGCTCAACAACAAATCTTTTTCACTGATGTTGTTAATCCCAGGTGAGGTGTGGTCCTTTCTCCAGCATGAGGTTGGACACAGAAGAGGAACTGGCCAATGGAACACTGATAAAAGTGATGTGTGCCTCCAGGCAGGGCCCATAAAGCTCCTATCTATTCTCTACCCATATTCTTCTCTGCTTGCTGAACAGAGGCCCCATGGGGCTGATGGATCCCCAAGATAGGTACACAAATGACTATGCAATGACCTGCATTAGACTTAGTAAGTGAGAAATAAGCCACTGAAATGTTGGGGATTTTATTCCAGAATTCGCCTACCTTGAGTAATTCATTTTCCTATCTCTTTAATCAGATGATGGAAAACACAGTTTAATGCTTTGCTGATTACTTAGGGTCTTTATTAAGAAGGCTTATTATTGGTCTCTATGGAAACACAGTTCTAAGACACTTTTTGGATTTCCAAGCTCGCTCTTTGATATTTAGTTCTCAGCTGTCATTTCTCTCACCCTCCTTCTAGCTCATTCCTTACAGTTGGAATTCACAGTAGGCCCAATTCACCTCTTTCCCATCATACGTACTGCCTCCTTATATTTACCTAGAGTTATTTTCTGGCTTCAGTGTCTTTGGCTACAAAACTTACCCATAGCCTGGTGACATCTGTCCACTAAAAACTAATTACCTAAGCAAGAGCCTTCAGGATGAAATGCATGGGCTCCCTGACAACTATTTACAGCCTTGAAAAACATCCTTCTGAGTAAGCTTTCACTTATTTCCAGACTTAGGGCTGTGTTCCAAAAACCTAGTCATTGGAAGCCCAGCAGCTCCAAGAAGAACAGGCATTTCTGCATTGTCTAACCTATTCATTTTCAAAGCTTTATTTCTTCTACCAGTTATGTTGTGGGTTTCCATGGTACAGATTACTTATATCAGTTGACATTTATGGACTCATTGATTTCTGAAATACTACCTTTCCCTACATACTGGAATATCCATTTTTAAAATGGATATCCACTTAATTGAGTATTTCCTTGATGCCAAAAGATCTTAGTTGGCACCTACTTTGTAGGAGCTGGGAAAATGGATTTTTAAATTGTACATAATTTCATTTAGTTATAGAGGTAGTATTTACAGAGAATTTACCAAGAAAACTCAGCCATGTGTTAGACCTGGAGTCTGAATTGTATTGAATGTTGAGAATATTATCTTCTCCCAGCATGAAGTAGAAATCTAAAGAGGAACTGAACTGGTGAGGCCAGACTAAAGAGAAGCAGAATAGAGGGAATCTGCCAAGGGAGTCTAAGTACCTCAACAGTGTAATTTCCAGCACACAGATGTTGTTTAAAGAAAAAATATGATTGAATGTAAAGATCCTCTGTTTTTCCCCCCTTAAAAAAATGGTAGAGAGCATCTACAAGGTTTCCTGTAAGTCTTTCATTTTATCTATTACTCTATGAGAACTGGAACCCAAGATAACTTCCCAAGGAATTTCCAATTTACTTGTCTCCATTTCTGCTGAGTGTTCATAATTAATGACTATACCTAGAAACATCAGTACCTGTATGGTCAGAAACATGCTCAAATCTGGGTAAACTTTTTATCCCCAAATAGCCTTGTTGGTGTCCATGGGGGTCCCAATTCCAGCTCTACTCCTTTTCCACCATATCTACCTACTCTTGGTGTTTGCC